AAAAACATTACATTTAATTACAATCAACATGTTCATGCTCTCATTTACCCAAAAAAAAAAAAAGTTCATGCTCTGTGTTTATCCCACTTTCTCACTTCCTGCCCTTTCCCTTTTGTTACCCTAACTACCTGGTAATTGAGTTTAATTAGGAAATAGTTTTCTTCAAATGTGTGGTTGAGGATTGAAAAGACACAAAGACAAAGTTTTACAAAGGCATCGTGGCAAAAGCCTACTTTAGCTCTTTACCTTATTAAATTTATAAGTTTTAGCCCATCACTTTATATTATGGCACTTTTAATCATTCACCTATTAGAATTAAAGAAAATAGTCATGCTTATAATATCTTATTAGTTCTGTTAATTGATTGTTAGTCAGGGATTGTAATTTCCCCCGATCCCCGCAGGACCCTGCAGGGATCCCTGCCACGAGAATGGGGCGGGGATGAGGGGTATTTTCCCCCCGCGAAATTACGCGGGGTATTTTCCCCTTGCGAAATTACGTAGGGAATATTCCCTGCCCCGCGAGGATCCCCATTCCGCGAAAAATTTACAAATATATAAATTAATTTTATTTTAAATTTTATTCAACCTATTATCAAACTCAAACTCAAACCCAAACCCAATCCAATAAAAATTAAATTTAACCCAACCCAACCCATAAAAATTAAAATTTACCCCATTTTACACAATCCAACCCATTTTTAACCCTAATCTTATTACCTTATCATCTCATCAGTCATCACTCACTCTAACCTTCCCCTTGCTGCGTCAGTCCTATGTGCCAGCATTCTGAAAAGAATTTTGCTTCCAAGATCATGAAATGAAGAAAAAAGTAAAGGAAATTTGAGGAATTAAATGATGAAATACGTTTTCTTTGAGCTTGTGAATGATTTTGAGGCGAAGCCGGTCGAAGGTGCCATCGTCCTTGAGCTTTGCTATCACATCTTCTCTGCTTATCTTCTCGGCTGCTTCTCCCATTGTCTCTAGGCAAACTACCGACTGCGCCAAGTTCCCCTATAGAAGCAAACCATTTATTTGCTTATTTTTGTTTTGCTGCTCTGAAAACTCAAGCGCAGAGTTTGTTCCCCTGCACTTGCAGATGCAAATCTGCTTATTTTGCTTTTGCTACTCTGAAAGCTCCAACATTCAACTGTTTTGCTCTTCTTCATCCATCTCACTAGGTGTTCTTTTGTTGTTTCACATTTTCATCACATTGAACATGTTTTCCCCTTTTTTTTTTTTTTGGCTTTTTGGTTCTACTTGTTGATTTGATTGCTAAATTCATTCTACTTGTTGATTTGATTCTTAATTTGTCTCTCCGTTGCAAGATCCAAAAGTAGATCTACTAGATTTATTTTTTTTGTGGCTTAGATCTATTAAATGTTAATCTTTGATTAATCTTACATTCAAGCAAATTTTGTGATGCAAAAACTGATGTTTTTTGTCCATAGATATGGTTCTCTCTTAAGTCTTTGGGCTCCCTAATTTCTTCTTGATTATGTAAGGGTTTTTTTTTATATATATAAATTGACGGGGAATGGAGATCCTCGCGGGAATCCCCATTCCCCATGGGGAACGGGGATGAGGGGCAAAATGTGTCCCTTATGAAAAATCCTCGCGGGGATCCCCGTCCTTATAAATCACGAGGATGAGGATGGAGAGGGCCTCCCTGATCTCGCGGGGCCCCGTTGCCATCCTACTATTAGTTGGTAAAAACTTATTTTTAGTTAACAAAATTAATAGTTAGTTAACAGAACTAATGAAATATTATAAAATGATAGCTATTTTCTTTAATTCTAATAGGTAAGAAGTTAAAAGTGTCATAATATAAAGTAAGGGGTTAAAACCTATAAATCTAATAAGGTAAAGGGTCAAAAGTATGTTTTTGCCAAGGCATTGTCCCTAATAGACCGTTGGCAGCTTCTTTATTTTATTTTTTTAATTTTATGATGATCAGTGAATTATTAAATATGACGT